ACTCGGTCAAAAGCCTTCTCGAAGTCTACAAAGCAAACAAACAGCTCCTCATCAAACTCCAACCTCCTTTCGCATAATAGCCTCATTACTGCGATCGCCTCTCTCGTTCCACAGCCTTTTCTAAATCGGGTAATGCCAATGTGAATAAAATAGAGTCAATAATATTTGACTGTCTAATATCTAAATTAATATTTATTAAAATTTTTTTTCTTTGACCAAGTAAAGTCGAATGCATGTAATCATGTTTAATTGATGTCAATATTCTTTTTGGAAATATTGGCTCAAATACAGAAAAACCAAATGTTCCACCTACTGCTCGACGTGTTGCTGTTTTTTCGGCCTTTTCAACGTTACTATAATAGTCATTTAATGATCGTTCATTCCCATCTTCTAAAACAGAAAATAAGATCTAAACAATGGAAGGCTCTCGAGAAATTTACACAATAATTGATACAATACGACGATAAATATAAAAATTAAAAGTGTTTAAGTCTACCTCTGAGAATATACAATACAGTTTGATAATTGTAGTCATATACACCTTTAATATCGCACTTTAGACAAGCATCAAAACCACCTGTTGAATTGTATTTGTCATAGTTTCTAATGCTGGTAAATCACCGGTATAAAACTGAAAATGAATTGGTATAATACGTTGAACATTTTCGATATTTATCGATAAACCAGTTTTGTTTAGAAATTCTAACTGTTTCACAATATCACGTAAAAAAATATTGAAACCTTCCTTCGATGATCCAGTCCAAATTGATAATAGCATGATATTAGATTTTGAAAAACGTAAATAGGGCGGAAGCTCAGCAATAAATAACTGCAACACCCACATACTTTTACAATTTTTAATACGCTTTGTAATTGGTGCCCCGTCAGCATGTAACAGACATGTTATGAATAGATTCTGATTCTGTTGCAATAATTTTTGATAAACATTTTGTGCTACAATATCGGTCCCACAAAGTTCTTTATTTAAACGAGCATTGTTTTGATATTCTATTATTTTATACAAATTACGATTGATTACATTTTCCAATAAAAATGATGGGTTACTGTTGTATATTTCAGCTAAATGGCTTTTTGTTGCTTGTTTACAACTTGGGCATGTTGAGATATTAATTTTGATATCGATTGGATTATTACATCTTGTACAATAATAATGATGATAAAAATAATTTTTTTTATTTAACACTTTGTGTATTTTATTCATTGTTCTTGGTAAACGATTATTAGATGGTAGTAATTCTGATAATAACTTCAGTAGATTGTCTGCTACTGTTTTGTTTATATTTGATTCTTGTATAAATTTCGTTATCAAGAAACATGCATCATATATTGAATTAATCGAGTTCCCAAATAATACTTCTGTTGTACTTAAATAATCATTATTATCTGTTGCTTGTTGTTGCTGCTGACTAATTTCTAAAAAGTTTAATACATCACCATAGTCATCATGTACATCCATCGCTTTTTCCCAATAATCATTCAGATATTCTCCATCAAACTGATAATCATCAACACTATCACTAGCTGAGAAATTCGAACTTGTAATCAAGTCTCTGACAAATGTTTCAATTGTTGTTGTTTCCATATCTTCCATAATACGATTTTGTACAAATTTTTTCAGTCTTGCGGTTCTTAGCCAATTTCGCTGATAAATGCGTCGTTCGTCTGCTTTCTCACAACATTCTTTTGTTAAGAACGAATTCATTATTCTTAAATATTAAGGCACTTTTTTCCTACACTAAAACTAAGTATTACGAAAAAACCAGAAGAGTGCCTTTCTATCATATATCCTAGAGAACGTACTTGGGGCCAAGTACTTGGATCAAGTACTTCGTCTGCCTAATGACGCTGGCACTTGTCTTTTTTCCAGAAGTAAATTTACTTGTAAGTACTTGTCCTTATTGCCAAGTACTTTCAGAAAGTACTTCTTAGCAATAAGGCAAGTATTTCCATCATTGACAAGTGCTTAGCAAGTAATCAAGTACTTGCGTCAAGTACGTTCTCTAGGGTATAATTACCCATCTCGTTACATGAATAGAAGTCGTTGAGATAGATGAGGCACGAAACAAGAGTCCTCCTGCACCACTTGAATACCATCTTTTTTCTTTACCTAGTTTCTCAAAAGTCATTCAGGACTCTATTCGAGGATCCTTTCTTGTCAAAGAAACGTTTAAGGATACAATCTGTTCCCTCTGTTTAACTGCGTTGCGAGGAAACGTTCAACTGTAAATTGAACTATTTGGTTGGATGTTTTCTGATATAAAACCACATAAGTAAGAAGTAAACCACAGTTACAAGAATACAAGCACTGAGGGCGATATGTGCTGCGGCACCCACAGTTAGAGTTTCAGCCCAACAGGATGGATATATACCAGTTAGCTCCATAGCGTTTAGAATATTTTACTGTTTTGGGAACTTCTGAGGCCTTACAAATTTGTGAGACGTTTTATTCTGAAAACGGACACTTGTTCATTTTTTAGCGGAGATCCCCTTATAATTAAGTTTTGTTGGACTTAAACCAAAAACTGTGTCAAAACTGGGGGATCTCATCAAGAATTTTGAACACATATTCTGCAAACATCCGAAAGTAGCAGACGAAATCTTTGATAATCAGTCAAGAGATCTTAGCTCTCAAGTACTTGAGCTATTCTGTTTTACTGTATTCGAAGAATTGTTACCGATGTACATATATTGAAAAAAGAAAAAGAAAGACATATACGTATACAAAAAGCTTTCTTCACATGTATATGTATATGTAAATAGTTTATAAACATTGAAGCGTGTAAAAATAAAATGTTTACGCATAAAAATAACGTACACTTAAGAAAATTTGGGTGTTTTCTTATAGAGAAAATCAAACCAAAATAACAAAACGCTTTGAAACAAAGTAAAAAAGTACCACAACTAATCATTTGACATGCCATAGCACATCACTCGCAAAAAACAAGAATTTTTTTACACCGGAAACCATTATTTGACATTATTCTAATCTGACAAACACCATATCTGTTTTTTCAAAAAATATCGGGAAAAGTCACAAAATAGAAAAATTGGGAATCATAGAGATTCATCGCTAGCTCATTTTTTATTGACCTATATCACAGGATAGTTCTTCAAAAATAAAACCAGTAAAAGAAACTATGGGTTTTACAAACACTCTGAGATACTAAAAACTAAGTGACAGTATTCCTATTAAAGTTTTTCAAAAAAGAAAAAAACCGAAATAAGAATTTGAACAACGAAGTATGCAACAATACCAGAAATTGTTTTATTCTCAAGGATCATTAGCTTCATCTTCATTTCGACCATTACTACTTCCGTCAGTCGCAGTATGTTGGCGTTTACCGGTTGATACAATACTATCGTTAGGTGATCGAGCACGACGCTGCGATGTTGTTGATGAGGTTGTTTTATTTAATGATTCATTTAAACGAGTACCATAATCGTTCAACCATTGTCCAAATAAACGACGATTACGCTCATGCCATTGACGGTTATATTCATCTTTTGAAATTTTAAATCGATAACGCACAGCTTCATGTCTAAAATCGTACAAATGACATCCACAAGATATTAAAAAAAGCTGACTAACTTACATCTTATCCATTGTTTCGTCTGGTAAAGCTTTTTTTTCTTTTCTTTCTTTATAATCCGGCAGACTTGCGTCAGTCAGGTTTTTACCAAATACTTTCGATACAATATTGTACAAATATCTTTGACTATCTGCTCCACGAATATGGCGTACATCGACCCCTTCGATGATCTAAACAAAGAGAAGAAAAACAGAAAAATCAGTTGTATATAACAAATATCACGCATGAAAAAAAGTGGAATGACACGTCACTTTAGAATCCGGTTTGTCAGTTTTACTTACTGAGCTTTCCCCCTCTCCAGCTTCAGTTTTCACCGATTCTTGATTTCGCATCTGGAAAAAAGCAATTTTGTCAATAATGGTGTAAGGTTATAAGTATTCATCACTTACCAATAATAACAACAAATCTTTAACACTTTTAACATCTCTCTTCGTTTGAGCTTGCATATTTTCAATTGTTCTTAATTGAACTTTTATTTCTAAATCAGAAAATTTTTTTATCTTCCAACTTTAGATAAACTAACTTACGTTCACTATCATCGCTCATTGGTTGTACAAATTTTCGCGCTGCTTCGTACCTTATTGAACTTGTTACAAGTTGTGGTGTAATTCGGCGATCTGATCGCGTTACATCACTTCCACCAATTGTTGGTGCAGTATTCTCTATTTTTTTAGCTTTTCTCTTTGATATTCGTTGATCAAGAAAGCCTAATGACAAAGAAAAGAAAAAATGAATGAGTTACTAGTTCTCTCGCTTTTATATTACATACTGTCAATTTCATTGTCAAGTCTTGTTGATTGAAGCACATTCTCTAATGACAATCTAGCACATTCTAATTCAACATCTTTTTCTGTTTCTATTGATTTTTGAACTTGTCGACATGCACCTGGTGCTTCGGTCGTTAAGCCATATCGACGATCAATATCGCTCAATTCTCCATCGGAATGGAATGGCAATTCAAATGTTTGTCGATTACATTCAGCTTTAGTGCCTAAAAAGCGGAAATAACAACACATCGTTGAGCAGCGAACAACACAGTAAGCGATTTTCTCACCGGTATACAATAGAAGACCTTCATACCATTTACCACCACTACGTACACGTACTGTTTTATTTTCACCTTGTTCAACACTATTTAGTGATGTTACAGCATGTCTTCGTTCATCCGGAAAATAGATAAAACCAAACTTTTTGTTGTTTGAACGATTTTCGTCTTCTGAATCACTATCTTTAAGTGCACCTGGTAGCTTTGGAGCACGACCACTACGTGTTGGCTTGGTGGATGCCATCCTAGAACTGAAAGATAATTAAACACAAGTAGAATAATAATAGGGTTCTTCTAAAGAATAGTCACACCCCCTACTGCGGTGTGTGTGGAGTGTGAGTGTGAGGATGTGACTATTCTGTAGAAGTACCCGCTATTTTTGCTGAACATTTTTTAGAAACCTATTTAAGCGAAAAATAAACAGGTGTCACACCTTTCGAACTGCTAATAGTTGTTTTAATATTAAACACAATAAATACCCAAAAATGAGTGCGTTCACGACTGTGGATTTGTAAGGAATGAAAAAGTCTATTTCTCTTTTTTTATATTTACATCAGCACTAATTAGAACAAAATGGCGCGTAGATAGAAAAGAAAAGGACCATAAACACATGTTACAGCAATTGTTTAGTAAACATCGACGTGGATGCGCACATACGATATGTGCACATCGATATAAGTGTTCACTTATATAGATTAGATGTAACAAATAAATAAATATTCGTTAAAAAGAAAGCAAAATGGATGGCTATATGACTCAGCCAATGAAATAACAGCATAAGTCCTGTAGGTGGTGACAGTAAAGGGAAAGGAACCGCTGAGCTATGCGTTCGTTTTCATTGTACTTCAGTGTTTATCAAAGGTCAAACTGTAAAACTCATGCACAAAACTGTATCTCACTAAATCCAGATAAATTCAGCAATCTTGATCAAGATCTCAATAAAATTTTTTCAAGGACATCAAGTGCAGAGGTATCAATAAATCTGGATCAAGATCTTGATCAAGAATTTTCAAGAAAAAAAATCTTTAAAGAACTTGTCCAGATTTTCTCTTTCTGCAGGACGTGGGTAGGTACTGTAAGTATGACTTAAGCCAAAAAATTGATCTTAACTAACTGAAAAACGTTATTTCCTTGTAAAAGTCTTTAAAAAAGGAAAAATAAAATGGCAATAGCAACGATTTTAGCAGCAAGAGCATTCAAAAGAGAACGAGTATTCAAAGGCAGGCAAAATGCATTGGAAACAATATATGATATGGTTTTAGCACGATATAGATTTCCAAAAACGGCTATAATCAATTTATTGACTCTCATTGAACCTCAAATAGCTCGTGCAACTGAAAGAACGCATTCCATCCCACCCGTAATACAGTTGTTAACTGTTCTACGCTTTTATGCCACTGGATCAATTTTTTATGTTGATGGAGACATACATGGCATCAGTAAACCTTCTGTCAGTCGGATAATGAAAGCTATATCAACAATTTTAGCAAATATGGCAACACAAACAATAACATTTCCAAGCACAGCAAAAAGAAATTAAGCAAGGTTTTTATGAGACATCTCGATTTCCGCGTGTTATGGGCGTTATTGATTCTACACATGTTCAAATAAAAACTCCGTCAGAAAATGAAGGTAAAAAGGAGTTTCAAGGTGGTTTGCTGTGCTTGTAAAAATAGCGCAACTAGAATAAGAGCATTTGAATCGTCATTTCCCACTCATTTAATAAAAATTATAAAATCTGTTTTCCATCATTACTTGGAAAACTCACCGTTCAGTAAAGTTTTAAAATAAAAACCCGTTACATACTTTTTTCAGTATTTTTGCGAAATAAACTACTAGTCACAATAGCGATAATGCAGACAACCAACACCGCCTGAAACCCAAAAATGGCTCCGTCGCTCATTGAACGTTTTTAAACTTGCGTTGTCGGTTTTTGGGTTAGTTTTCGGTATGATAACCAACATTAAAACAGTTGGAATGCCTTTATGTTCCCTTTTGTTACCGTTACTGGTGGAAAATGATACAAATTTTATGAAAATATGTTGAACCATGTATTTTCTCTCCTGCACTACGAATCATTATTCTTTTTAACTCGGTAATAAAAGAAACACAACTCTTTTCGTTTAAAACATTATGTAAACCGAAAACATTTTCATTCCATCAACTGTCAAGCGATCGGTGATCATAAAATGATGATTCGTAGTGCGGTTGTAAAATGGCCAGGTTCTACATATGATGCTTTCATTTTGGGACAATCAGCGATTGCAACTACGATGGCTAAAGAAGCTGTAGGTGACAGTTGGTTATTGGGAGATAGTGGCTACCCCCATAGTTGGCTTTTGACGCCGTTTAATGATCCAGGAACCGGATCCGAAAGAAGATACAACAAAAGTTTAAAAACAAGTCGATGTCTGATAGAACGACTTTTCGGCGTTTTAAAAACCCATTTTCGTTGTCTCGACAAAAACGGCGGCGGTTGACAGTTTGTTCCAGAAAATGTGTGAAAATTGTATTGAGCTGTTTCTATCTTCACAATCTGGCTAAAAAATTGAATCTACCTCATGATGATGAAGATAAAATTCAACTGGTGCTTCTGAATATTTTTAAATATGTAACTTTGAATTTAAAAAAAGATAAAATAAATAAAGAATAAATAATGTCTTTGAAATGGTGCAAGTGAATTCTAGGAAAAAACAGAAATTGCTCACACAGATACTGGATTGATTTTTCTTGTCAAAAGTGAATACTGTTTGAGCAACGGTGAGCGAAAGATGACTTATTAACGCAGAAATCAGCAGAGTCTTGTTGCACTTTTCTATTTTATTTGATACAGTGAATGAGCTCCTTCGGACAAAACTGAATACATAAATAAATTCGAAAACGCAAACGTTTTTTCGTTCGAACTGCGAGAATTTTGTATTTCTTTTCGTTTTCCTTTACTGATGTGTATTTCGAAACTTTTACTTGGTTTTCATTTTTTGGTGAAAATCTCGATCATTTTCAACGTGAAAATTCGAAAACAAGCAAAGTACTCGGATAGGATAGAAACACATATCAGTCGACTCAGATTTTGAGCCTGATTCCGAATATTATATTTTGATTACGTAGAAGTTGAGTTCTGATTGAAAAAATTGCGAATTACGGGCAGAATTCCGACTTTTTTGCCTTTGATTTAGAAAAAACGAAATTTTTCAGCAATGGAAAGGAATTTTCAAAAAAGTGATCCGTAACTTTTTCCCCACTGATATGATGATTCGAATGAAGATAAGAGAAAATTTTTATCTCTTAACCAGAAAAACTAGATAGGTTTGCTAGATGAACAGGGACTCTTTTCTGGTTCTACTCGAGTTTCTCAAAATCTGACTCCATTTAACTATGGAAACTGTCAAATTCGGTTTTCTATAGTCAGTTTTGTATGCCGGATCGGAAAAAATTAGGTTCAAAATGATAGATCAGGAATAAATATGAAAATTTTGGTTATTTCTCAGAATTTCATGTATTTTTGCCTCTTTTTAAAAATCAATATTTTGAAAAATTTTCACCCAAAAATGAGTTCAAAAACTCTCAAGTGGACTATTTTCTATCTAACGCGATGAGCTGTATCCAACTATAGTAGAGAGAACAAAAAAGAATTCTGCTCCCTTTTTGCATTAATTGCACCTTATATTTTCACGTTTTCGAAAGAATAGTGATGCTAAAAGATATTCCAATATAGAGACACGCCGCTTTATTTCCATTGGCACTGGCCTCAAGCCTATTGGCTTAAAACGGAAAAGAATGAGAAGTCCCATGTGGTTAAATGTTTGTATTGAAATTTTCACTTCGAGGTCCGCTCAAGCATTTCTGCTAAATTTCGACGGAACCTTTTTTGTTTAGAATCAAGCCGGCAGTCATATCACAATTTAAAGCTTTAATTTCCTCCTTGTCACATACGGGCTCCGGCCATATGGTTCAACTTTTCATCTTTTGGGATTCTCTTTTCGGTTATTCAACTATTCAGGTTTTGGTTTTCTCGTTTTAACTATTCACCTTTTTGACTTTTGGGATGCTCTTTCCAACTTTTCAACTATTCAACTTTTGGGATTCTTTTGTTAATTATTCAACTTTTCAAGTCTTGAGAATCTCTTTTCTACTATTCAACTTTTCATGTTGTGAGAATCGCATTTCAACTATTCAACTTTTCAACTATTCAGTTTTTGAGATTCTCTTTTCAACTACTCAGCTATTGAACTTTTGATAAGGCATGAGTGTGAGTAGGTGTATAGGATATTTGAGGTGAACACGTCAGTTGCTATGCAATCTCTCGATATGTATGATATCGGGGACAAGTTGGCAAGGCCTTTGCTGAATATCCTAAATATGCTATATATCGGAGATATCCTAAATATCCTAGTATATTTATACCCCGCTCAGTCACTAGGATATGCAGGATTTTTAGGAACTGAACTTGCAGGAAATGCATTTTCTCCATGATGTCATTCTCTTTTGAACTATGCACGTTTTCAACTTTTCAGATTCGTTTTTCAACTGTTCA